TCTTTGTATGTGAGATGAACGTCTAAGGCATGATTCTTGCAAAAAAAGTTCTTCGCAAAACACCGCATTTTGTCACGAAGAGCGAGCATTGTCGCGTTTCTTGTCCACAGTTTCCACGGTCCATGCATGGAACGCCTGGGACCATGACCCCCCTTTGAGTGACCAAAACGCTTGCATTTTATGACTCGGGCTTTCCTACGGAAGCCCGAGTTATAATGCTAGGAAATCTGAATGCTAACTCACCATCTTGGTTTGTAACAAAATATTCCGGATCACTGTAGTCTCCATTTCCCTTATCGGTAGACGCCAAAACCCTGACACTGTAGTTCATATTCTTTATCAGCCCAGTTAGATTGACCTCACGTGTAGGAACATAGACTGTTGTGTTTTCAACCAGTAAAGAACTGTTCGCCTGGTAGCTCACGGTATAACTACGAATGATACCGTTCTTGTCCGCAGCTGGAACTTCATTCCACCTCACTAAGAGTGAAGTGGAAGTTGTGTCGTTTAATGTTAAATTCTGGGGAGGAGCGCTAGGTCCTGAAAGGAATATAAAAAGTGTTAAATTTTTATCTGTTAACATGACGTCATACTGTTTCAGCCAACAACTTCACCATGTACACCATGTACATTAAGCAAATTAAACAATTTTTCTAATTCTGAATAACAATTGCTACTGACTGTAACACTGTAATGACTTTGATTAGCCTCCAAGTAGTTGATTTTATTTTATGACTCAAGACAATGCTACTATTACAAATAGGATGCTTTTTAATCTTAAACAACATTGCATTGAGGAAGGGTTTGACAAGCTTTACTTGACTCCTCTTATTAATGCACGAAATTGTCTATTTTGCGGCAATCTTGTTGATTTTTCAATGTGCATCATTTCTGTATTGTTTTAAAAAGTATGAATCTACTGGCGTTCCATCACGAATGCCGTTTACTTATTTGACTAGACTACTCACTACCTATTCTGTTGTAGATAGTGAGTAGCCTAGAAGTGTGCAGTTG